CAGTTATGTTCTCTAGTTGGTTGGTTAGAGTTGGGTGAGGCTAGATTGTTGGGCACAGATTTGGATCGAGATGCCTTGGATAAGGTGAAGTTGATCCAGGAACGACTTCGTACAACATGGTCTAGGCAGAAGAGTTATGCCAATCGGAAGGTTCGTGATGTAGCATTTATGGTGGGAGTGCGGGTTTTTCTCCGACTTTTACCCATGAAGGGTGTGATAAGGTTCGGGAAGAAGGGCAAGTTGAGCCCTAGGTATATCGACCCTTTTGAGATTCTTGAGAGAGTGGGGGAGGTGGCCTACACGGTTGCATTGCCACCTAGCCTATCAACGGTTCATCCGGTGTTTCATGTTTCTATGCTCCGGAAGTATTATGGTAATCCGTCTCATATTTTAGATTTCAGCTTAGTCTAATTGGACAAGAATTTGACTTATGTTGAGGAGTCGGTGGCCATCTTGGACAAGCAGGTCCGAAAGTTAAGGTCAACGAACATTGCTTTAATGAAGGCTCAGTGGAGGGGTCAACTAGTCGAGGAGGCGACTTGGGAGACTGAGCATGATATGCGTAGCCGTTATCCTTATCTTTTCACCACTTCAGGTATGTCTATATACTCGTTCGAGGACGAACGTTTGTCTAAAGAGAGGGAGGATGTAACGACCCGACCAATCATTTTAATTATTTTATCCCCATTTGTTATTGCCTCCTCTATGTTATATTGTGGTTATATGACTCGTCGGGTTAATTGGTTTAGTTTCGGGTGAGTTTCGTGGTGAATTGGGAGACTTAGTCCCAAAGTTGGAAGCTTAAGTTGAAAGAGATGATCGAAGCTTGACTTTTGTGTAGATGACTATGGAATAAAGTTTTGATGGTTCTGATAGCTTCGTATGGTGATTTTGGACTTAGGCGTATGTCTGGATATTTATTCGGAGGTCCGTAGGTCATTTTTGGCTTGAATTTGCAAAAGTTAGAAAGTTAAAGCTTGGAAGGTTATGAAGTTTGACCGAGAGTTGACTTTATTTTAATATCGGGGTTGGATTCCGATTTTGGAGGTTAGAATAGTCCGTTGTATCATTTATGACTTATGTGCAAAATTTGAGATCAATCGGAGTTAGTTTGATATGAATCGACATTGGTTTTGGAAGTTGAATGTTCATGGATTCAATAGGTTTAGATTGGGTTGTGATTCGTAGATTTGATGTTGTTTGATATGATTTTAGACCTCGAGTAGGTCCATTATGTAATTTGGGACATGATGGTATGTTTAGACGGGGTCCCGAGGGCCTCGTATGTGATTCGAATTAAGTCCGAAATCATTTTTGCACTTAGAAGAAGGTCTGCCCACCTAAGGTTATGGTGCAATCGCACCTGCGCACTTTGGGCCGCAGGTACGGCACCACAGAAGCGGCCTATGAGCCGCAGAAGCGAGTTTGGGCTGGGTGAGCTGTAACCGTAAGTGCGGTCGTTTCTCCGCAGAAGCTGCTTGGTTCCGCAGAAGCGCAAGTGCAGATGTACTTCAATGTCCGCAGAAGCGATATTCCCTGGCTTAATGAAAAGCCGTACCTGCGATGGATTTTTCGCAGGTGCGGAGCCGCAAAAGTGACTATTAGTTCGCAGAAGCGGAATAAATGGGCAGAAAAGGGGTAAATCGAGGGTTTTGTTCTATTTTTCATCTTTTGAGTTAGAGAGCTAGGTTTTGGGAGATTTTGAAAGAGATTTTCAAGAAGCTGATCGGGGTAAGTATTTTTTACTCAAATTTGATTATTATACATGAATCCATCATTATTTTATCATTTAATTAGTGTTTTGAATTGACAATTTTGAGAAATTTTGTGAAAACTTCTTAAGCTATAATTTGGATTTGAAGATCGATTTGAGGTCGGAATTGGATAACTTTAGTATGGTTGGACTCGTTATTGAATGTGTGTTTGGATTTTGTAAGTTTGGTTGGGTTCCTAGACGCGAGCCCGAGTTTGACTTTTTGATTTTCTTTAAAGATTACAACTTTATTATCTGGAATAGTTTCTTATGGTTGTATTTATGGTATAAAGTTATTTTGGCTAGATTCGAGCCGTCCAGAGTTGGATATTCATAGAAAAGGCTTATTAGTGGATTAAGTTAGCTTGTTTGAGGTAAATATCTTGCCTAATTTTGTGTGAGGGAATTACCCCTAAGGATTGGAGTTGTTTGCGTTATTTGTGGTATGTGAAAGTCGTGTACACAAGGTGACGAGTGGGTACATGGGCTATGTGTGGTATTTTATCGATTTAGGCTATTTACACTCTTTCCATGCCTTTAATCGAATCGTCATAACATGTTATATCTTTCATTGTTAATCTATCCTTATATGCTTTATTTGACTTTGTTAACAGATGTTCCACCTCTTGTTATTTTTCTCTTATATGCTTTAGTTCAAAAATTGCCTTCATTATTGTCTTATTACTTCTTTAATTGTGAAATTTCTTACTTTGAAATTGTTAATTCATGGAATATTTCTTGTTTAGTTATTGGGGTTGAAGTTGTAAAAGCCGTTATATCTAGAGGAGAAGTTGTTAATTGTTGAGATATCATTCTTGTTGAACTATTCACCATTATTTTGTTATTGTTGAGATTCTTGTACACATTGTGGTTGAGCCATAGGCTATTTGTTGTGGTTGATAGTATTGATTCTTTTTGCAAGTTGTGGCCTTTGGTCACTTGAGGTGCGAGTTGTGATATATTGTAATATTGATATACATGCGTTGGTATAAGGCTAGGGGTTGATACGCATACGGTGAGATAAGGTGAGCTTGATACGCGTGTTGCTAGTAGGGGAACTATTTGAAACCACACGGTGTGATAAGGTGGGCTAAAATGCGGGTAGCTATTTCGAGAAAAATAATTTTCAAAACTAAATTTAAGGTTCCCGAAGTGATATAAGAAAAGATTGTGATTGTGATTGTGATTGCGAAATGAGATTACGAGGCGGTACCTAGATTATGATTCTTGTTGTTATCTCTCATTTTCCTCACTTGTATTTGTGTGCATTATTTTCTTGATATTCTTATTATGTATTCCTTTATTGTTTTCTTTATTGCTTTAAATTCAGTTGTAGCTTATCTTATTTTATTTCTTTATTGCATCATTTCCTCATTCCCATTATTAGAATGTACTATACTTGTACAACTTCTTTTCTTATCCTAGTAGGCGTCTTGACCTGGCCTCATCACTACTCTATCGAGGTTAGGCTTGATACTTACTGGGTATCGTTGTGGTGTACTCATACTACTCTTCTGCATATTTATGTGCAGATCCAGGTACCTCGACCCAGGCTAGGCAACAATGAGTAGATCATTCAGTTCAGAGACTTCAAGGTATACCTTCCCGGCATTCGCAGGCCTTAGAGTCACCCTCTGTCCTTGATTTCCTACTGCCTACTCTTTACTAGATAGTGATGTATTAGGGATGTTTCAGAATTCGTGTAGAGCTTATGACTCATTCTCACTAGATTTTGGAAGTTATTGTTAGCGATATTATTAAGTTCTTTTATGATAGCTAGTTGGTTTAAATTTGAAGTTCTATTATTTTCGTTATTTCTCCATGCATGTTAGGATTACCTAGTCTAAGAGACTAGGTGTCATCACGACATCCTACAGTGGGAGATTGGGGTCGTGACAAGTTGGTAACAAAGCTCTAGGTTCATAGGTATTACTAGTCATAAGCATGTTTAGTAGAGTCTTGCACATCGGTACGGAGACGTCTGTACTAATCTTCGAGAGCCTATGGAACTATTAGGAAACTTCACTTCTTTGATTTCTTATCATGCGAATTTGTTGACTTCGAAATTCTGAATCTTTGTCTTTCTTCTCTCACAGATGATGAGAACGCGCACTGCTGGATCCGACAATCAGACACCCGTGCCCCCTGCTAGAGTCGCGAGAGGCCGGGGCCGGGGTAGAGGCAGAGCCTGATGAGGGGCAAGTGGTACTGGTAGAGCACCTGCCCGAGTTGCGACAGAGGAGCCACCAGTAGCTCCAGTTGGGGGGTAGGCACCTGTTGCCACCCCTGCACTTCAGGAGACCCTCGCACAGTTCCCGAGCATGTTCAGTACTCTAACTCAGGCGAAGTTGATTCCACTTGCACCAGCCACATCTCATGCTGGGGGAGGAACTCAGACTCTCGATACCCTCTATGGTTCTGAGCCACCTCAGCCCACATTTGAGTTAATTGCCCTGACAAAATTGAATTTCGCGGATCAAGATTTGAGCGATTGTCAATTGATGTATAATGTTTTGAAAGATAACTTATAGCCTTGTTTGCCCAAGTTCTTTTAGGGCCAACAATGTTTTTTTTCTTAAAAAAAGTATTTTTGACCAAGCTTTTTTTTTGGGGGGGAGGGGGAATACTTTTGGGAAGAAGTAGAAACAATTTTTGAAATTCAAAAAAACGTAGTTTCTTCCTAGAAGCAGAAGCATTTTTTAAATTTTCTTCCTACCAAAAATACCCTTAGCAAAATATTGTATGTATCAAATTAAGCTTACTTAGTTTAAAGTATTAAGTAATACATAATGAATTTTCATAATTGTTGAATGATTTTTTGATATATTTAAATCATCTTGAAAGAATAAAGTACTTTTCAATTTTATTTTTATTTTTATATTTTACCTAAATAAAATAAAAAACTTAATTATTGTCTCTAATAATAAATATTTATAATTATTTATCTACTGATATAATATTAACTGTTAACCACATCTGTTTTTATTCTTATTCGTAATTTGATACTTAAAAGTACTTTTTAAAAAATTTGACCAAACATAAATTATTGCTCAAAAGTGCTTTTTAATTTGATTAACCAAACACATATTATTTTCTCCAAAAGTACTTTTTAATTTAAAATATTTTTATTTTTAAAATAAAAAAAATATTTTTCAAAATAAGCTTATTTTTCTTAAACATGCTGCTATTAATCGAAACAGAAAATCACATGAAACATTCAGCTCATAATCGAAGAAGAAGCGGAAACTTGAAGTAGGGGATCAGGTATTTGTTAATTACAACATTACTAACAAAGCTCTGTAGAAGTGCAAAGGAATCTGAAGTTGTCGGCGAGGTTCTTCGGTCCATAGGAGGATTTGTTTCAGTAGAGCCTATGAGCTAAAATTATCAGTTGGGTCGAAGATCCATCCCGTATTTCATGTATCTCAGTTGAAGAAGAAGGTCCAAGATAAGATCCAGACCCTCCTTACTGCGCAGGTGATGGATGAATAGTGAAAGCAAATTTGTAGTGTCGAATGGTCAAAAAGAGGAATCGTGCATAAATTAAGCAAAAGAATACAGATGAGAGCAACTAAATTCACTAACATGTTTACCGTGAAAGGATGTGGTGCGGTGGATGAGACTGCTCTTCCCTTAACCAGATATCTCGAGTTCGAGTCTTGGGTATGGAAAAATCTTTAGTAAGGAGCGCTCCCTCGAATGGGGCCTGAATCCGGATATAGTCGGGCTCTAATGCGGGTACCGGACACCGGGTGGGAAACCAAAAAAAATTCACTAAGATGTTTCATTAATCAAAGTGCATAAATTAAGAAAAAGAAGAAGGGAATAGCAAAATAAGCTCATATTTATGATAATTAATTAACAATATAAACTATGCTAATCTCACAGATCAACCTAAAATTTGTATATAAGGTCCTTGTATGGTTCCTCATCTTCAGAGTAGTGATTGATCTCAGCCTGCAAAACATGAAACCAAGCTCAATCAGAAACACTTTAACTACAATTAAAGCTCAATATACCGACCCTTGTGTCAAAATTTATTTCTATATCAGTATGCCAATTGCTAATTTACACAGAAAAAGAAAAGTTAAAGCGCGTTGCTGCTCTTGTTAAGATAACCCAAATTTTATTGAACATTGGAATGAAACTGGATAGTGAGCATTCATGCCAACCCAAGTATACCGCTAGCTTGAGATTAAGGCGCAATAGTTATTGTCAAAAGTTTGTATACGTTACTCATGAAATGACAATTCATAGTACTATAACAATATATGATTTCATCTACTTTGCTAGCCATTGTTGTTCCTAATGCATTCAGAACCATATGTATTTCCTATTCCTTATATTGTCATTCTTAATATCTTTTGAACCGTAGAACATCCGACTGGTTAACAGGAAATCATACCCTATTAACTGCATATAAGGAAAACGGGGGTGCTAAGATAACTCTAAGGGCTCGTGTGGTAAGACGTATCCCAAACATGCAACGGAAAATGATAAGGGATAAGGGATAATTCCGGAATTAAATTTATAATGAATTTATCCCACATTTGATTAGGATAAAATCGCGGTATAACTAATTCCGGTATTAGTTATTCCGGGATTGTAGTATTATTTTTATCCCTATGGGAGGGTGGGATAAGAATCCCGGAATAATTAATCCTGAGATAACTTATTTTCCAACCAAACGACCCCTAAGAGTTTAACCTCTATACACTGATAGTGAAAGAATTTTCACATTATCAGGTCACCTAAAAAATAATTGCAAGTGAATGTCTATGAAAAGTGAAATTAGCATAACTTGTTACAATGCACTGATAGTTTATAATTGCTTTTACACTATCACTGTATAGAGGAATTATACGATGAACTGATGAGCCAATTCATTCTTATTTCATTATACCTGATAAACCTTTTCTGGTGTAACCAGTTCTTCAGCAGAAAGAGGAATTCCATCAAACATATACTGATATACACCTTGTATACTGAAGAAACCATAATTTGAAACGTACCTTGCGAATAGCTTTTATGCAAGCCATGAGGTTTTCACCCATCATATCCTTAAACAATGTATCTTCCTCTAAAGCGCTTAAAGAATCAGTAAGACAATCTGGTAGCCTTCGATAATCCTCTTGATTGACACGACTCTCTCTATCTGTTTCATAGAAAAACACAGGTTGAATGTATGATAACAGAATATAATTCTTTCTTCGACAAGTGATAAAGCATTAGCAAGAAAAATCACTGAGAACCAAAATTAGATTTTACAAACAGCATGCACTTTTGCCTACGTACTATAGAGCTTAACTGCTATACACTACATTGTGAGATCACCTAAAAGATAACTACAAATAACCGTCTATAAAAAAAGTCGGTGGCAGGTTGACTTGGTTAAAATGCACTGACAGAGAGAAAATTATTTATATTGTTAGAATAACCCTCATCCTATTTGTTTCTAATCAAACTAAGAAAACTCAACGTCAGGTCCAAGTTTACTATATTTCCTTTTTCATGAAATTGCATATACTTTACCTTTCTTGTTTCTATTCATTTGTTCTGCCTAAAGGTAAGCAAATATAAGGGCAACTGTCCAATACATCGATTGAAAGTAATCTAATGCGTGGGGTCAGGGCGTCAGGCGCACGTCACGAATTTGAATCCTGGCTGAGGCAAAAGTCTGGAATTTCAGTAGAGAAGGGTAGATTAGGTGCATGTCACCCATCATCCACCGAGTTTCGACCCTTGCTCCACTGAGGTTTCTCGGTTATCAAAAAATATGTATATTGTGATGAAAGCAGCTCAAAAAATATACCTTTCAGTCTTAACCATAAAACTCAGGGCAAAGAAAGACTTAAAAGCAAATTATCATGCGGTAAAGAGAAAATTGCTAAATAATTGTCTAACTTACCTACTGGTGCAGCAAGGCTCAAATCTTTCCGCAAGCCATCGATCCCAGCAGTAAGTATAGAAGCAAGTCCCAAGTATGGGTTCGCACATGCATCAAATGCAGGACATACAAAATGGCCTACAACATCAGCTCCTGGAAGTCTACAAGTACTAATTTTTGCATAATTGTTTTCTTTCTGCCAACTGACAACTCGTCCATTCCAATCCTTAGAATACAGGCGCTCATAACTGCAAAATAAATGTGACCAAAATAAGGCAAACTTAAACACAAGGATCAAGTCAGGCATAGTACATGAGTTGATGAAAGTTCAATTTTGCACAAATATACTCAAATGAGGTATATATTTTTAGAAAAGGAGACCGAACCAAAAGGGAACGGTTTTCATTCTCTATGCAATAGCTCCAAATGCAGAAACTTGAGATAGATGTTTAATTCGTAGAAAGTTGAGAGAGGGTTTGAGCAGAACAAGGGACTTCAAGGCCAAACAACAATAAAAAGGAGAAAATATGAGAAACAAACTTGGACAGAATTTTCAAAAAGGAAACTTTGTTCATTTTGATATAGCTACTAACCAGTCCAATTAGCTGAAATTAACTTAATACTACTAAAGAGTGCAAATAATGGACATTTCCCTTAGATTTAGTGTTCTCTATTAATTCAACACTTGTTACAAGAATTAATTCGACTTGGCTTTGGAAACCTTTCTGCATAACTTTTTGATGAAAATATAAATTGGAACTACTTCTTCCCTGCTATCATCTACTTAAAGCTCTAAGGGTTTTACCTTCCATCCTTATAATTTAACTTTGAAAAAAAAAATTAATCTTAAAAAGGTGTAGCTTTCCAGAAATAGAAGTTTAATACAACCTTTCTGGAAATAGAAGTATAATACAAAAAATGCCTTGAGTAACCATCTAACTACGTACAAAACTATTTATGAATATTTAAAAAAATAGTTCTCCTATTGTTTTGGTGAATTTAAATGAGTAGTACATTTACTTGGAAGCAAAAAAGGTTTTTCATCTCATTGATTCAAAGCAACTTTGAATTAACATAACAGAAAACCATTACAAAAAAAAAAAAAACAATTAACAAAAGGAAAAAACACCTGTTAAACAAATTATTATTTGAGGTGATGAGATTACAAGTCTTCCATTATGCTAACAATCAAAGAAAAGGAAAAAGGAAGTGATATAGCTGCTATTAGTTATAATTCCCCTCTTTTCGATTAGAGGCATTGGTGCTGCAGCTTTGGTTCAATGAGAATTTTTAAACCAATCACCAAAGTATTTAAAGAAAGCACGACATTAATAATTAAGGTTTAGCACGACTAAATTATATTGGTAGCGTGAAAAAGTATTATTTACACCATCAGTTCATATAAGTTAAATATTAATAAGTACAAAAAAACCTCTAACCTTGTAGGATGTGGTGCAGTAAATGCTAATATGGCAGGAAGATGATCTAACACCCCACTCATGAATGCTTGCCCAATCTTGGAAATCCCATATTGACTTGATCCCTCAGATGCCTTAAAAACGTTAATTCCGTTCTTGGACAAACTTATATGCACATTTGATCCACAGCCCCATTCGTCTAACGAATACCTATACAGAAATGGACAGATGGTCAAAAACTGAAAGGAACTACGCTCATGCAGTAGAAAGTTCATACATAATGCTTTTCGCGATAAAACCAAAAAAGAAAGCAGAACTAAAAACAGGGTTGTGGTAGCACTTCAAAAGAAGCAAAAGCATATCTGGTTAAACTAGTAGAGAAGAGAACTGCACCTAAAAATATTGTGGAAACATCTGCTACTTACTTTGGCAAAAACGTTGGATGAAATCCATATTTCCTTCCAACTTTTCTGATGACTTCACGTGTATAAATTAATGTATCAGCAGCTCTAAAACAATCTGTATATGGTAGTCCAATTTCAAATTGACCTTTTCCAGCTTCTTTATGTAGCTGCATACATTGAAAGAGACAACATCAAGGGGAGTAATCATCGTTAAATTGAATAGTATTACTCCCTTTGTTCCATTTTATATGGCACTCTTCTCTTTTGAGTCTGTCCGAAAAGAATGACACATTTCTATATTTAGAACTCTTAAACTATTCATTTTTTCCCTTGATGACATGCTCTTATAGCTATAGAAATATCATGGCATTTTTAAGACCACAAGTTCTACGAGTCCTTTTTGAATGAGCCAAAAGTTAGTATTTCTTAGAAAAACTATATACCCAACCAAACAACGCCATATAAATGAAACCGAGAAAGTCTAAGATAAAGTATGTTGGATATATCTTACTTATTCCAGATAAAAGAAAGATATTGTTGCAGAACGGTGAAATGCCATGCTACCATTATATGAGTGAAACTATGAAGCTTATAATTCTTTTTCCTTTTATACTTCTCTTTTGTTTTTATTTTCCCCTGAGATGTTGGATTTAGGCCAGAGGTTCTTGATGATGCTCATGAAGCAATTATCCATGTAAATCATGTCATCAAAGTTATTGTTTTTGATATATACTATCTTGTTGCGGAAGCCAAATGTATATAGTGTGAATGAGTCACAACTACTATACCAAAAATTATGACAACCACTAAATAATAAACAAGACAATAAGACAACAATAAAAGAACACCAGAAATTACGAGGTTCGGCCAATTTTGCCTACTTCCTCGGACACAATCAATATTTTATTCCACTCCAAAATTACAAGTGAAATAATACTAAAGAGAGAAGATACAAATGCCTTAAGAAGATAAAAAGGCAAATGAGAGGTGT